ACACTCCACACTGAGGATTGAGCACACAACCCAGGCATGTGCCCTGACTGGGAGTCGAACCATGACCTTCTGATTCTCAACCACTGAGCCACACTGGCTAGGCCAATTGGTGACTTTAACACATTTACATTTATTGCAATTATTATATTAGGATATATTTTTGTTAACTTATTTAATAATGTCAATATATTTTACTTCCCGCCAGGGGTTCATTTTCCAGGTTTCTTTTAGATAAATCAATCTTTTTCTGCTGGTTTTAAAGCTGTATATTCTATTTTTATTCTGATGCTGGTGTTCCCTAAGAACAAAACTTATTTATTTTAATATTTACAAGAATGTCATACCTGTTTGGTCTCTGACCCCCAAATATATTATTATTCTCTAAATTCTTACTTTGTGGGCTATTTGAGTATACTTTCTCTGTTTTCTTTAACTTGGTCCTGATTATTTTTAGATAATCACTAAACTTGAACAAGGTATATGATCACCTTCAGTTGCATATCTTTTGAAGCATCCTCCTTTTCTACATGAATTTTTAACAATTGGATCTTTGGCAAACTTTCTGATACCACATGTGCCTGATAATATTTTTATTATACCCTCATATTTGAATGACAGTTTGGCTGGATATAAACTTCTAAGTTCAAAGTTCCTTCGTAAAATTCTTTGTAACTATCTACTGGCTTCCCCTGTTACTGTTGAGATGTCTGATATCAATGTGATTCTTATTCCTTTGTAGATGATTTACTCTTTCAGGAAACTTTTAGACTTTTCTTATTTGCTTTGATGTTCTTAAATCCTATATAATAAAAGGCTAATATGCAAATCGACCGAATGGCAGGATGACCGGTCGCTATGATGCGCACTGACCACCAGTGGGCAGGTGCTCAATGCAGGAGCTGCCCCTTGGTGGTCAGTGTGCTACCACAGGGGGAGCGCCACTCAGCCAGAAGCCCTGAGCTGGGCTCACGGGAAGCATGGGTTAGGCCTGCTTAGTCGGACACCCCCTGACGGCTCCCAGACTGCGAAAGGGCACAAAGCTGGGCTGAGGGACCCCCCACCTGAGTGCACAAATTTCATGCACCGGGCCTCTAGTTTTGTTATAATATGCTTAGATATGTGGTTTTTCCTTATCTCTCTTGTTTGCACTTTATGAACTTTTTAAAAAAGTATGTTTTATTGATTTCAGAGAGAAGAGAGAGGGAGAGAGATATAGAAACATCAATGAGAAGGAAACATCGATTGGCTGCCTCCTGCATGCCACTTACTGGGGAGCAAGCTAACAACCCGGGCATATGCCCTGGCTGGGAATCTAACTGGGACCTCCTGGTCGATGCTCAATCACTTAGCCACATCGGTAGGGCTGAACTTTTTAATCTAAGTCTTTCATCTGTCAATTTTATCCTTTATTTCAACATTTTACACCCTCTATTTCAGTGATGGTGAACCTTTTGGCTCAGCGTATCAGCATTTTGAAAAACCCTAACTTAACTCTGGTGCCATGTCACATATCGAAATTTTTTGATATTTGCAACCATAGTAAAACAAAGACTTATATTTTTGATATATATTTAAATGCCATTTAACAAAGAAAAATCAACCAAAAAAATGAGTTTGCATGTCACCTCTGACACGCGTATCATAGGTTCGCCATCACTGCTCTATTTCTTTTTTTAACTCTTCTTTTTTATATTATCTCTTTCTGTGACTAGTATCTGAAGGTTGGCTTTAAAAAATTTTTTTATTGTGATGAAAGACATACAATTTTCCATCTTTTTTTTTCAATTATAGCTCACATTCAATATTATTCTGTATTAGTTTCAGGTGTACAACATAATGGTTAGACAATTATATACTTTACAGAGTAGTCCTCCTGATATTTCAAGTACCTCCCCCACCCTCGTGGGAATCGAACTAGTGATCTCTTGGTTTATGGGTTGACACTCTTCCACTGAGCCACACTGGCCAGGCTGAAGGTTAGATTCTAATTCAATCCTTCATTTCTTTGTTTAATGGTTAACTTTATGTGTCAACTTGGTGCCCAGATGTTTGTTCTAAAAGCAGTCTAGATGTTAGATTTTAGATCTAATTAACATTTGAATCAGAAGACTGAGTAAAGCAGATTATTTTCCATAATTTTGGTGGGCCCCATCCTATCAGTTGAAGGCTTTTAGAGAAAAAAGACTGAGGCCTCCTGAGGAAGAGAGATTCTACCTACAAATTGCCTTTGGATTGAGCCACAGTATCAACTCGCCTAGGTCTTCAGCTTGCTGGGTTGCCCTGCAGATTTTGGACTTGCCAGAACTCACAATTGTGATTAGCCAAATCTCTTTCTGTCTCTTAAATAAACACATGTACACACACACATGCACACATGCACACCCACGCACCCACGCATGCACACCGCCCTATTGATACTGCCTCTTTGAAAAACCTTAATATATTTTTTAAAATATTGTATATATTTTTATCCTTTCCTGCTGCCTCCTATGAGAGTTTCTTAGCTTTACCCATCCTATTGATCTCATCTGTGTTGTTTATTTCAACTATTACTTTTGTGATATCCAATATATTTTTACTTGGTTTTCTTTATAATTTCTTAATGTTAGTGTTTTTCTTATCTCCTGAGTAGCCATAACTTTGAGTAAAATTGTTATAATTTTACATTAAATTGAAAGTGATCAGGAAAAACATGACTTTGCCCTAAATTTCATTTAGTGGCAAATGAAGAATTAGTCCTACAGAATACATTTAAAGGAACAACGAAGGACAAAAGTAAAGTTGGTTAATGATTACACTGTATGAGTTGATCTGTTCATGTGAATTTTATATTTGTCAAAGTGGCAATTTGTAAGTATTGTTTACATTTTACTCAGCTTTGTAATGATATAATTTTGGACAAATTAAAAATATATTTTGATTCTCAATATTTCAAAATGTCTACTTAAAATGAGATTATTAATATACTTATATACTACTTTTTCAGATATCCATAATTTAAATAGCTATGGTTTTAGTCTGATAATTTTTGATAATTTGGTACATGACCTCTTTCTCTTTAATAGATCTTATTTTATGTATTCCAATAGGATTTTATAATGTTCTTCATGTAAGTACTGTAAGACCCTCATATAAGTCTTTCTTGTAAAATTTGTTCTTTTATAGATTTTTCTGCTCATTGTGAATAGCATATTATCCCATTTCTAATTGAAATACTTATTATTAACATAGATAAAAACCTTTGATATATTTATATTTTATTAAATATCCTTACTGAATTCATTTATTCAGTCCAATAATATTCTTTACTAAAGTTCTTGGATTTTCTGGGCATGAGTGTATATTATTATATTGTTTTTTAGGAAATGATATATTTCTTTTATATTCTCAACTTATTTTCCTGAGTTATAAAATATTCTTTTAGAATGATTGGTATATTTTCTCTATCTATGCATTCTGTATGTTTCTCCTTCCTAATATCATGTGTTTTTACTTTCTTCCCTCTTTAACACAACTTCTTTATTTCAATACTATTGATTTCTTCAAAGGAAAACTCCAGGACTAAAAATTCCCGAATAGATGAGAACAGCAAGATATTTAAACAGCTAGAGAAAGACAACAAACAACAAACATTACTAACTATTAAGCAGAATTTGCAAATTGCAACAACACTAAGGTTAGAGGAAGAAATTCGGCAACTTCAGAAACAGCTCAGTGATTTGAAATTGTCAAATAAAAATATGAAAACCCAACTGACAAGAGTAAATGTCCTTAAAGTAAGTAAAGGAAGTGAGGCTTTCAAAAATGTATTTAAGCTTTGATTATTACTATTTTAGCTGCATATATCTCATCAAACTTTTAAAAATTAATGTTAAAATTATTGTACACACGTACAAAAGAATGTATATAATATTAAAAGCATATATCATAACAGTTGATGCCTGCAAATCTATTACTAATCTTAAAAAAACAGACTAATATCAATTCCATGAAAGCCCTTAAGTATTCATTCCTCTTCCTACTCCTCAAAGGTAACTTCTGGATCCCTTGCTTTTTTGTTTTAGTCTTACTTTTGTCTTTTTAATTGGGGTAATAGTTAATAATTTTAGTCATTTTTGGGCTCCTCTTTGGACCTTCTCTATTTCAAGCTTCAGTTGTAGTATTTCAAATATACATTTTTAAACATCTTAAACCACAGGTGATCAACTTTTTTATCAGCAATATTTCTTACTACAGAGCCACTTATTTTCCCTGTTTCTGTATTTAATCAGCACAGGCTGTACTATAAGACTTTTGAGGACATGGAACACTTGTTCACCCTCTTTTAACCCAAGTGCCTAGTTTATAAAAGTGTTCAGTGATTGTTGGTTATTGATGAGTATGATGGTGGAGAAATGTCCTCTTAATTCACAAGCTGTGGGGTTTTCTTTTCCATGTATCTACCTCTTATTTTTTTTTAAAGGAAAGAATAGAAGCATGAGTTATCATTCATCATGCCTACCTATTATTTAAAAGAGATCTAATCACAGTCATCTCCCTTTCCCCCAACCTTAACTTTATACCCTCACAGGACAAAACAATTCAGAAGCTCAGGCAATCTTTAATAAAAGTTGAAGCAATGAAAGGGAAGGCAGCTATGAAAACAGATAACTTGAAAACTGCATTAGACCCAACCAAGCAAGAGGCAAGATGGAACAAAGACGGGACCCATCAGATCTTAGATGCTATCACTCCTGAGCTCTGCACAGCAAAGAACACACTTGAAGAAGTGTCAGGACGACCACAAGAGGTTTAAAAAAAAAAATTACCATAACTATATTAAGATTCTTTAAGTCAGTGGTTGGCAAACTACGGCTTGTGAGCCACATGCAGCTCTTTGGCCCCTTGAGTGTGGCTCTTCCACAAAATACCCCGTGCGGGCACGCATGTACAGTGCGATTGAAACTTCGTGGTCCGTGCGCAGAAATCAGTATTTTGTGAAAGAGCCACACTCAAGGGGCCAAAGAGCCGCATGTGGCTCGCGAGCCGCAGTTTGCTGACCACTGCTTTAAGTTGAAGTGATAAACACTCACCTCAACTTAGACTCCACCTAACTTAGACAAAAGGGAATTTATTGGCTTATGGAATCAAAAGGAGTTAAACAACCAGAGCTCTGCGTGGGCAGAGATGTACCTGGGCTCTAGGATGAGCACCTGGAAACTTGTAAGGCCTTCCTCAGCATCTCTTCTTGGCAGCTCCCTGTGTCAGCTTGTCTATCTGACTGAAAACCACAGAGTTTGTTTTTTAAAATATATTTTATTGATTTTTTACAGAGAGGAAGGGAGAGGGATAGAGAGTTAGAAACATCGATGAGAGAGAAACATCGATCAGCTGCCTCCTGCACACCCCCTACTGGGGATGTGCCCGCAACCAAGGTACGTACATGCCTTTGACCAGAATCAAACCTGGGATCCTTCAGTCCACAGGCTGATGCTCTATCCACTGAGCCAAACCGGTTAGGGCTGAAAACCACAGAGTTTTATAGTTGAGGAGTTTCTGGGACAATAAAGAGAATCCCAAGAAAAGGTATTTATAAGCCCAGCTCAGGTCAAATGCCGATCCTTGGTGAATTTACAGTGGTGATAGTGGGATATATGATGATCTTAGGTTTGCACACACATCCTCTGACTAACCAAGGACAGGGAGGGCAGAGATGATGGAATAGAAGTTCAGGGGAAACCATGTGTTTGGGGCTGGGTCACTTTCTAGGACAAGAGGGAAGTGCTTCTAAATTTGCCTAGATTTTCACTGTATTTATAAAGCACGTATTTTAAGAATTCTTAAAAGCCTGATAATTTTGGGCTATTGTGGGATTATGTCATACCTTCATATATTAGTTGCTTAAGAAATATGCAACTTAGAGTCTTAAAAAAATCAAGGCATGATATTATCAGTTTCTTTTTCTCTTTTTTAACTTGTGCCTATTCACATTTTTAATTCTTTTTTAGTGTTCCTTATTATATTTTCAGTCAATCTCTTCTCCTTTGGGCATTCTGTAGTTTAGTCTTCATTTCTGAGAAGATTTTGTCTTATTCTTGCTTGAATTCCATCAACATTTCTTTATCCACAAAGCGTCTTACACATATATTTTTTTCTATTCTGAAACAATAACTTTAGAAAGGTGTTTTAACCCCATGTCTGCTGATCCTTATCTAATTAATATTTAATTCATATCAGGCATTGTGTCAAGCATGTTTCCCCTGCTTCATGGCTCTTTGGGAGAGAGTATTTTCATCACCCGAACAGTCTGAGTGATACTGCCTTTCTTATTTTCTCCCAGCTCCCTTTCTTGGCCTTCCCCACTTGCCAGGTTCTGATCCACCGGGTCTCAGACTTGTTCTCAGTATTAGTATTTCCCCATTTATGCATTCTCCCGTTTCTGGGACACCAGTGGAAACTAGATGCCTCCTCCAGCGTGGACTCTGGAGCTGCCTCATCTGGTTTCGGGTATTTATTCCCTCGCTTACATGCAAACTGAAATCTGTGGTATTCTCTAGTTATGTTTTAGACATGATTTATGGATGTTTTTATCTGCTTTCCTTGTTGATCATTATGGTTTTAGAAGCATGGGTGGAGAGATATGTGTTTAGAGAAATGTATTTGCTGCTATTACTCCACAGCAAAATAGAGGTTCAAAAAGAAGTTACCTTATGGATGAAACATAAGCAGCAATAAAATTAAGTTTAGTCTATAAAAGTGTAAAAATAAGAAAAAAATCTTAAAAGAAAATTTTACATAAAGGCTACTTGTAACAGAGGAGACCATTTTTCTAGATTAAAAATACTTGAATATAGGATGTTATATTTCACAAAGAAATGTTTAATAAGACTAATTTTCTCATACCAATTTCATCGTATACAGTAAGTAGGTGACCAAAACTAATGACATGTCTTGAATTTTGTGGTGGCTCTTTGAAGGAAGTCGACTTTCGAGAAACTATCATGAAGATGTTGGGATTTAACATGAAAACAGCAGACAAGGAAATTATCACTCACCTAAGACTTGTTATCCGAGCTTATGAAGCATCTAACAAATCAAAGATTGCTTCTGATTGTGAGACTGGACAGAATAACGCATAAGAAAGTTCTGCCTTCTCATTGCTGCCAACAAGAACTCAGCAGATACAGACATTTCCTTCAGCATCTTGAGTGTGAATACATGATGAATTAAATGCTTCAGAAATTTTTTACTTCAATCTGTTCTCTCCTTTGATGTTTGGCATTCAACTTTTGTCATAATCATAAATGTTCTATACATTTATTTATGGTCTAGTCTAGCTTGTTACTTATACTATGGTAATATCCAGTTATATTTATTATTAACTGTATTTTAAGCAGAATATTAATCAGAACTTTTGTTTAGTTAGAATATTTATATCTACCAGTATAGTTAACAGCCTGTTTCTAGAATGAAACATTCTTTTGGCTATGCCCACTTATAAATCCAGGTAAAGGTGTATTCTGTAATTTGAATCTATTTTATTTCTTTGGTAACTAGGTGTGAAAATCAGATATGAAATATTGCAGGGTAGGAAAGTCAGCAAGAATTTTTATAAATGTTCAATGGACTGTATTGTGTTTTTTATTTTCTTAGCATTTAATATTGTCTGTCAGTGTTTGCCTAATAGTAGGCCAATTTCTAAATTAATCGGCTACTTTCTAAAAAGTATAACTTCTAATTTATTTTATTTAAAATAGTTAATTGCTCTTCTTCCAAAGGAATTTTAGATTTATCTAAGATGTCCTCTGTAGGAACGTCAGAATCTAGAGAGGCCTGTGGAGACTCAGTGCCTGCTATGGTCTCCTGTGGGGCTTAGTTTTAGGGGGTCTTCAGGGTGGAAGGAGTCAGGTTACATTGGACCTTACCCTAGTAGCACTTTGGAAGAAAATGATTAGCTAGAATACGCATTCTAAGAAAAAATGAGAATCACTCTTTTAAAAAAATATTTTTATTGATTTCAGGGAGAGGAAGGGGGAGGGATAGAGAGATAGAAACAATGATATGAGAGAATTATTGATTGGATGCCTCCTGCACACTCCCTACTGGGGATGGAGCACACAACCTGGGCATGTTGACCTGACTGGGAATCTAACCAGTGCCCTCCTGGTTCATGGGCTAACACTCAACCACGGAACCACACAGGCTGGGTGAGAATCACTCATTTTTAAACCATCATAGCCATGGCTCTCAAACTGAGTGCCAAGGCATTCTGGTGTACTGCAGGGATCAGGCCATGGAGTGTTTTAAATTTTAAAGGTAAACAGTGATATTTGACATTTGTCAGGAAAATACTCCAACTATTAGCTCCACGTAGTTTAGAGTTTCAACACTAGATTGCTCTTATTCATTCTGATGACAGTTTTGCGATGGAAACTGCACAGGACTTATCAGGACTTTTAATTGGTCACCAAGTGGAGGCCCAGCAGTTGGTGGTATCACTACTAAGGAATCCTAAGATCCTTGGCTGCAATGTAAGAAGCTCAGGTACCTTTCAAGAATATCCTTGGGCTGGCATGAGGGGACCCTGCCCAGAACCTCCACCTGTAGCCCAACCTGTTCAACTACCTTCTTGTTGGATTCCCCAAGGGTCAGCTGCCTGCTGCAGCCTCAGCGCAAGGATGGCAAGGACCGCACCATCCCATGAGCCAGGCAGGCTGTCGCCCATGTTGCAGCGCTGCTCTTCTCTGAGGAACCAGGAGTCCTACCAGCTCCTAGAAGCAAGCTCTCCATGAAGGCCAAGGTGCCAAGGGGTGGCAGTTTGTGAAAGCCATTCATTAGCATATTAAAGAAAGATATTCTGTAAGTAGAAGGGCTTCAGTCTTAATGCTTCTTTGTGAATTGTGTTAGTATAAACGGACTGTTCAACCGCAGAGCAGACTAGAAGGTTGGCTATGTTAACTCTGCACAGAGGCGGGAGAGGGAGCCTTCCGGGGCCTGGAACAGTCTGACCAGAACTGCTTTCAGCGCTGTGGCCAAATCACCGCACACTGGCTTCCATGGCGGGAGCTGGATTTAGATTTGGGAAAGTGGCTCTCAACCTCCCAGATGTGTCGGAATCACCTAATGAACTTAACTCTTTTATTCTGAGCCTGTCCAGAGGTTACAGTTCAGTTGGTGTGGTGTGAGGCTGAAGTCTGCATATTTTTTTCAAAGCTCCATTTGTGTGTAAATTGGTAAATTTACTTTGGAAAACAGGCGATGTATTCGTTTCCTGATCCTTCGGTAACAAAGTATCACAAACTTGTGGCTGACAAAATAAATATTCCTACCTTTCTGGAGGCCTCCACTTCGGCATGAGAGGGACTCTTAGAGCGTGACAAGCGCGGGTGCTTCCTGTGCCCGACTCCCACTGGGATTTCAGTCAACGGAGCCAAACTGTGTAGACGCTGCTCCGCCCACAGCTGGGAGCCAGCCCGTCCCACAGCCCACGCGCACGCCGTCCGGGAGTCCGCGCTCCTGCGCCTGCGCCTGCGCGCCCCTGCCGTAGCTGCGCGGGAGCGGCCGGAGCGGCGCTCGCCTGGGGGCGTGGCTGTCGGCACCGGAGGCGGAAGCGGGCGAAGACGACGCGGAGTAGCTCGTGGTGACTGGCTGGCGGCAGTGACTGGCTGGTGGAAGGAGCTGTTTCAGGTCGCGTCTCCGTGTGGGGCGGGAACCCGCCAAAGAGGGGGTCGGGCCTCGATTCCAGCCTATCGGGGGCGGGGGCGAAGCCGAAGAGGCGGCCTCCCGGGAAAACAGGTGCAAGTGAAGCGGAGTCCGGACCAGCCCGCGTGCGGGCGCGTCGCTGAGTGTGCGGACACGGGGCTTCCTTGCGGGAGACCTGGGT